TCAAGGTGCGTGGATATCCTACCACAGAATCTATATGCTACTCTACCACTACCACTTCGGTCAAACCATCTCCTTTAAGCAACTTCTCGACCTTCGTTTTTCATACTTGATCTGCTAGTAATCCAACTACCATGAGACACCTCCCGCCACGTCCTTCCTCATACTTCGCTTCCCAAATGTTGCCTCAAATCAAATCCATACATGTAGCACCCAAACTAATAAATTTCTACCAACTCTAAGCCTCCTCGAAGATCATCTCTCTCTCTCTCTCTCTCTCTCTCTCTCTCTCTCTCTCTCTCGCCATCAGCATTAGAAATACCAATTCGATTCTGAACCGCTACACACCGCTATCTCTGACAACCGCTCCTCAGGCACCATTTTACAATACCCTGCCCCGAAGGCAAAACCAAAGAAGACCATAGCACCGGGGAACCTTATTGTATTTTTTCGAACAAGGATGATGACACCACTTTCACAAATGAGAATTCCACCACACTAAAAAAATATCAAGTCTCGTTACTTCATCAAATGAACCTGGACATCTATAGTCTGATTATCTTTCCTCTGTTGGAATTAAATGCCGAACCTCTAAATCGTACACTGAGAAATCCTTCTTTCAAGTCATTCACTGCCTCGACATATAAACAAGCACCCTACCATTACACCAACATTGTGCAATAACAACGCATAGACATCATAGCAACCCGTACATAGTCTCGAAACCATAGGAAATACAGATAATGAGCTGGAACAAAAGAACATCCTTCCGCAAGGCGACGAAAATAGCCTGCCCGAACACGCAGGTAAAAACATCCTACACTACGTCTGCAGTACCACTACAACTCCTCGACGCCCAATTGATAACAAGCGCCAGACGTCGCGTAAGATTGAGTGGGAAGGAAATAAAGGCACAAGCCTCAACGGAATCAAATCGCACGATGAGGAAATCAAGAAGGGAAGTGCTCCTAACAACCCCGTAGCCTCTCGAAGATAAGTACAGACGTCTCCGTATCGATCCACAAGACTCTACTGAACTTGTTCATGACTCATGAGACCTAAGTGAACCTAACGCTCTGATACCAAGCTGTCACGACCCAAAACTCACTATGGGCCGTGATGGCGCCGAACGTCACCGTTAGGCAAGCCAACTGTGAACTACCGATTCAATTATGAATTTTATTATTTTCAAAATCGTAGATCTTTATTAGATGAATAAATCAACTCATAAAAATCATGGAAATTTACAATTTGTTAACAGAATAGATGATGTAAGTGTATAAATGTTAAGCCAACTCACGAGAACTCCTAGAACATCCCAAAATCCGGTATTACAAGTGCATGTGCCCTTAATAAGGAGTGCAATAATAATACAACATCTGTATAGAATGTAAATGAGACAGAATAAAATGAATAGTATGATGGTGACTCGGTAGACTGCGATGCGTAGCCTGGGATACAACTCACATAAAGTCTCCTCAACAGTTGCGCCCACGCGCCAAGATAATCACCCAATGAACCTGTCAAATCCTATACATTTAGTGCAGAAGTGCATCATGAGTACGTAAATCAACGTGTACCCAATAAATATCAAGCTTAACTCCGGAGAAGTAGTGACAAGGGGTCGACATCGACACTTACTAAGAGGTCCAATAAAATAATAAAATAACTCATAACATATATAAAGGCACAACGATAATGAGGTAAATTTGTAAGTTACATAATCTTCCAAATATTTACTTCAAAGTATGAATTTCTCAATCTTGTATTCTATCTTAAAGTCTTAGTAAATGTCAAGTGGCAATATCGATGAATAAATAATCCATATAATATGCCGGGAATCAGCAGAAATATAATTTCGTGAATGTTCGGACTACCAGCGATATAATGCACGATTATGCCGAGGTTGTTCGGCCCGATCCAAAATAATGTGTACACTGCTGAGGGCCGAGCGGCACGAACCATAGATGCATCTATTATACTGCCGAGGCGTTCGGTTCGCTCCACAAGAAAGGAAGGAAGTTATTGAATCACGAGGCACGTGCTTACAATACAGTGCATGAATACAAGGTGAATATAATCTTTACCATTTCTCAAATAACTAGCCAACAGCTCAAGGTGATAAGGCTCGGCTTAGTATACATATATTTATTTCTAAATCAATTTCAATTATAAGTTCAAGTAATTAAGCCAGCAGAATATGTTCAAATAATTCAAATATTACATGGCAAAGTCCTAAGTCTACCCGGACATAATACATGCTTTAGTTACGTACGGACTCTCGTCACCTCGTCCGTACATAGCACCCACAACTAGTATCACATAACAATTACATCATCTAGGGGTAGTTTCCCCCTCACAAGGTTAGACAGGAGACTTACCTCGCTCCGAAGTTCCAAAACTGGCTCCAACGCCTCTCTAACTCTTCAATTCAAGCCAAACGATCCGAAACTAGTCAAACAATGTGCAAATCAATCAAAATATACTCTCATGCTTATAATTAATCAATTCATAACAATCCCCAACTCTGCTCTAATAGTCAATAAAGTTAACCCTCGAGCCCACGTGCCCGAATTTCAAAAATATTCGAAGATAAACTTTACCCATAATGCCACGAACTCAAATATATAATTTATTCCAAATTTCATGTCCAATTTTATGGTCAAAATCTAAAAATACCAATTTCTAGGTCTTCTACCAAAATCTCAAATTTCTACAAATTCTCATGCTTAAATCATTATATAAATCATGTATTTAACTCACAATGTGAAGAAATCACTTACCCCATAATAGATGATGAAAATGGCACTCCCAAATTGCTCCAAAATCGGTTCCCATAGACCAAATGAAGTGAAAATGGGCTAAACCCCCATTTATAAAAAGCTACACTGCTCAGAACATCCCGCTTATGCGATCCAAAATGTCGCTTCTGCAACGGCTACTTCTGCGGCTTCAATCTCGCACCTGTTAGGACCCAGGCCAGGCAGCAAGAAAAGTTGAGTGTACATAGTTGAAGAGGATGGAGAGTTACAAAGTGATAGCACACTATCAGACTTAGACGATGCACCAAGCAAAGGGGTCAAGTTTGCTAGCAAGGCTGGGACCACGGAGGGCGGCCAAATGATGATCGAGGCCATCATTGCTAGCCGTCCAAAGTACAAACTGGGCAAGAAGAAAGGTGAACAGTACCTTGTGACGTGGGAAGGCGAACCACTCCATAGAGTATTATGGCTAATGGACAAAGATCTCCAACGATGCTAAGGTGAGGTACACGCGTACTTGTCGATGCTTTGTGCCGAGGGCGGCACAAAATTGGGTGGGAGAGAGTGTCATGGCCCGCCATGTCATCATGACATGTAGGTGCCATCTAACATATATTTTTCACATATGGAAAGCTTACATATGAAATAGACTACTACATGTGGTAAGGTTCTAGAGAAATACGGAGATTTTTCATGGAAGATCTTAGAACCCTATTGAATTGCTAGGAAAGTCATTAGAAGATTATAGCTATGTAGAATATTCTAGAGAAAGGACTTACTTGTAAATAATATTGGCCTTGTGTAATAATTATTATTTACTCACTAGCCATTAGAAGACTAGTATATAAAGGGGCTATTCATTTGTAACTCATCAAGCAAAATAATCAAGTTCTCGCTAATACACAAGTTTCCTTTGGCAATTCTCTTGTGTTCTAACATTACTTAGCGATCTTTAGTGTAGTAAGGATGACTTGGCATTGCAAGATCGTGAGCGAGTTATGCAAGATCGTGAGCAAGTTTTCAAGTATCGCACGTGTGCTTAGTTCAAGACTAAGGACGTGACATAGGGCTCCAAAATTCGTGCCTTTTTATTCCTCTTCTTTTTTTCTTCCTCTTCAATATTCCCTCTTCTTTCTTCCATTTATCCTTTGTATTTTAATTTGTTATTTGTTCGTCAGGAAAAGAATAATTTAAAGAAGATAGGTTGCTGAAATTGAGGATATTAACTCGGCAGATTTGCTGAAATCATTTAAGTTGGAGACTAAAACGAATAAATTCAAGATTTTTTCTTTTAGTGTTTTGGGCTATTTTGTTTGGCTTTGTAGCAGCTATGATGATGTAGTCTAGTAAGTTTGATGTTAGGAATAAAGCTATATAATGCATCATTATCTAGTATAATTTTGAAGTTATTTTGGTTTTTAAATGCAGTACAAATCTGTTATGTAATACTGGAGTTTTTGGTAGTCTTATGTTGTTATTAAAATGCAGATTTTTCTGCTTGTAATGATATAGACTGGTATGTAAATGAAAGACACACTACAAAAAAAGGTTCAAATTGCGGCAGTTAATTAGCGGCGGTCGCCGGTAACTTCCGCAAATTGTATCAAATTGTGGGACTTTCTCTATCCGACGCAATTAATTATAATTTGGGGATCTAGTACATTAAAATCAAAAGAGCGCCAAGCTTCTAATTTTTACCACTATATTTTTGTTTTCCCTCATTTTTTTGTCCGCTAAAAATCTTTTAGACCTTATTACCCAAAACCTTTAGACCCATTTTGTCTTCTCTCTCACTCTCTCTCTCTAGTCTCCATTAAATCAACGCGTACCCAATAAATATCTAGCCTAACTCCGGAGAAGTAGTGACGAGGGATCGACATCGACACTTACTAGAGGTCTAATAAAATAATATAATAACTCATAACAGATATGAAGTGCATAACGATAATGAGGTAAATTTGTAAGTTACATAATCTTCCAAATATTTACTTCTAAGTATGAATTTCTCAATCTTATATTCTACCTTAACGACTCAGAAAATATCAAGTGCCAATATCGATGAATAAAGAATCCATATAATATGCCGAGCATCAGCAGAAAAATAATCTTGTGAATGTTTCGGACTACCAGCGATATAACGCACGATTATGCCGAGGTCGTTCGGCCGGATCCAGAATAATGTGTACACTGCCGAGGGAGATCGAGCGGGTGACCCGATACTCAACCCGAACATACGCCCAAGTCCGAAATCATCATACGAACCTATGTGTACACTGCCGAGGGAGATCTGAGGTCTTTACTCAAAAGTCAAACCTTAGTCAATTTTTCCAACTTTAAGGCTTCCGAAATTAGAATTTTCTTTCCAAATCAACTCCGAACTTCCCGAAATTCAATTCCGACCACACGTACAAGTCATAATACCTGAAGTGAAGCTACTCAGGGCCTCAAACCGCTGAACGATGCGCTAGATCTCAAAACGACCGGTTGAGTCGTTACAAATTCAAATCAGGAACTGGAATGAAAATAAATTCTGATTGTTGAGTATCTTGAGGTACTGTCATGTGGACATCTTCTACTGATTGGGAGTTTTGTTCTTCATGGAAGTTAGTCTTATTCTTGTCTTCGACCTGTATAAGTTAAAATATTAAGTTATTAATTAAGAATAAGTAGAGAGTTGAATAAAGGTATGTAGAAAATCATATTACCAGTGGACATCTCCTTATATTGTGGTCTGGTGCACTACAACAACCACAACTCATTCTAAGTCCTCTCCTTGAAGCTGACCATAGCCTTTGACCTATTACTACCCTCACTCTTTTCTCTTGTTCTCTTCACCTTTGGCCTACCAACCATCTTAGATAAAGGTGGTGGTGCCATGGCATGTTGTGGCTCCACTTTCTAGAACCTCTTCCCCATAACAAGTTGAAGCTTGTGTTTATAAACCAACATGTAAGCCTCCTTAGAATACCACCAATGAATTTCAGTAGGGGGTTAATTGTTTTGTGCATGAGTACTTTTATTGCATGAGGACATGGGATTCCATACAAGTCCCATGCCCTGCAAGTACACCTCTTTAGCTCTATACTCATTGTGTGACTATCTCCACCATCAGCGACTTTATAGCCCCTCTCCCCATTAAATTCAACCTTGCATTCTAAAGTTATCCTCCTGTAATCACTGTAAATCTGCATGGCATGTGGACTAATATCACCTTTCCAACCCATAGCTTATGCTTCATGATCCCTTAAAATATTCATAACCTTCAAAGCACAACAAAAGCAAAAATTAGATCACTTTCACTAGAATATAGTTGAATTAACACTAATATTTAGATACTTTTACTCTAATATTTTCAAGCATCTTAATATTGGTTTGCTGCCTTACTTTTAGAATTCATGAGTTAAAGGATTTTGTGAAGTTGTTGTCCATCATCATATTTTTACATAGGGTGTCAAAATATGCTCTACACCAGTTTGTTGGTGGATAACATAATAACCTCTTAGCAGCTTCCTTTGAGACTTCACCCAACTTCTTCAATTGATCCTTGAATTCTTCTTCATATGTACTCCAAGCACACCACCATAGAAACTTTTTCATTTCATCACCATTCCAAATTTCGCTCCAATTAGATTCAACATGTCTCACACAAAATCTGTGATTGGCATGTGGACAAACTTTACTGACAGCATCCAACAAGCTCTGTAAAACAGAAATTACAGTTAAAAAAACTAATTTAACAATAAAAAGAAAACAAAAATAACAGTAAAAAAATTAAATTGGAATTAAGCTACCTTTTGCATATCTAACATAAAAGTTACTCAATCACCATCCTTCAAGTCCAAAGACTGTTTCAGCAACTCCATAAACTAAGTCCATGTTCTACTTGTTTCTTTATCAACCACTGCCCAAGCAAGTGGGTAAACATGCTTGACTGAATCTTGGCCGACAACCACTAACAATTGTCCCATGCATTTTCCTTTCAGAAATGTACCATCCATCAAAGGTCTCAAACCTTCTCTCCAGCCACATTTTAAAGCTTGGAAGCACACATACATCATTAAAAATCTCCTCTTACCTTCTGCCAAAGCATCTTTGTTTATATTAATCACCATGTCAAAACTAGGATTGATCCTTCTCAATTCTTGTGCATATCCCTCCAACCTATTGTAATCATCCAAGTAACTACCCTCCAATTTCTCCAAAGCAAGCCTTTTAACCTTTTCAGCTTTGACTTACTCACATTAAGTTTAAATTGTGTCTCCAACTCGTCCTTCATTTCTTTTATCTTATACTTAGTATTGTTCTGAATTTTTCTTCTAAAGTATTGTGCTAAAGTATCAGTTGATGCTCTTTTATTTTCATATGCATCATCACAATCGTGTATTAAATTTAAAGTCTTGATCTTAAAATCTTGATCATTCCCATCCTTGGAAATATGACAATAAAATGGACAACCCTCATCACAACCATATGTAACTCTACCTGTATCATTTTTTTTTATACCTATAATCCCTTTTTATTTGAAACAACATACAAACCAACAACTTGTTTAGCTTCGGGTAGGTCTTTAAAGGACATACCTTTCTCTAAGACCTTGTACTCTTCAAGCTTTTCAGTGATACCAAGTCTCCTTTGCTTTTTGAATACTTCCAACCTTTCTTCTCTATCATCTTCTTCACTAGACAATGAATTATTATCTACACTCTCCTCTTCCAACCTTTCTTCTCTATCATCTTCTTCACTAGACAATGAATTATTATCTACACTCTCCTCTTCCAACCTTTCTTCTCTATCATCTTCTTCACTAGACAATGAATTATTATCTACACTCTCCTCTTCCAACCTTTCTTCTCTATCATCTTCTTCACTAGACAATGAATTATTATCTACACGCTCCTCACTACTATCACAATCTTCTCCAAGTTCTACATTAAAATTATAAGACTCATGGAAGTGAATAATGTTCGAAAAGACACGATATCTTCTTCATATTTGTCTACCGCAAATAAGTTCAAAATATAGAACTGATCTGAAAGTAAACTATGGAGAGCTCTAACACCTTCTTCCCCTACGACCACATAATATCTACCAGATGGTTCAATCACTAAAAGTTGCTTCACCTCAATCAACCCAAACTTCTCACTCTTGAATTCTTTACAAATATCAATGTAAGACAAAAAAATTGTTTAGTAACTTCTCCACACGTGAATAAGTTTTTTACTATACACTAGTTGTGGTTTCCTTACCCACTGACCCCCATAATTACAAATCAAATCTATTTTTTCAACCATTCTTCAAATACCACATGCGACATCAAACACAAAAAAGAGAGCACGTTAAGTTATATTCAAAGCATTAATATATACAAGAATCAATGGCATAAGATAAACAAAAGACGATAATTTATTGAAATAAAAATCCCACCACCATAATTTTTATATATTTTACATACAATAAACTATAAAAAAAAAGAAGCCTAAAAGCACTCAGAGATTCTATTTTTTATTAGATAAAAGTCAAACAAAAAAAATATATATTTTACAGTTACCAAAAATTTCAAAACCCTAAAACTTTACACACCAAAAATTATAAATACGTACTTTAATCCGAGAATCTAGCATGAGAAAGAAGAGGGAATATTGAAGATGAAGAAAGAAAGAAGAGGAATAAAAAAGGGAGGAACTTTGGAGCCCTAGCTGCACGAAGAAGAATGAGGAATTCGGGTGGGTTTTGGTTTAATAAGTATTCGGGTATTTGCCTTTTGGTTCGGGTATTATATTATGGGTCAGATTATAAGATGGTTTAAGTTTAATCCAGGTGGACTAATAATAGTGTGTCACGTAACTCACTAGAAGACTCATATCAGCTCTTAAGCTGAAGGGCAATTTTAATACACGCAAAAAACGTTGTGTTCTTTTTAATCAAATAGGTGAAAGAAGTGTATTTTTAATCCAAAACCCGTAGTTCATGGATATTTTGAACCTTTCCCGTTTATAATATTAGGATGCGTAATTTTAAAAATTAGAATAATAATGCAGTTAAGCTAAATGAAGAAAATAAAACAAATAGGAAATAAAATATACGAGCAATTACATGGAATCACAAAAAGTAAAGGTAGAGAAATAAAAAAAAAATATTTTTTAAAAGTAAAAAAGAAACTAAAATAATGGGGAATAAAGTTATAAAAAATAAATTAAAATAAAGACAAAAAGGAAAGAAATTAAAAAGTAACATTGTAATTACATAGTGTAATTACCATCAATTCTCACATTCCCCTTGAAAATTGGAGAATGTAATTACAACTTTCCAATTACACCTAATTCTATGCTGAAGTAATTTCTTGGCTAGACAAACATGCCAAACTGTGTAATTACACCCAAATCTAAATCCTAGGTGGCTTTCAAACAGTTTCTAAAGAAAAAGATAAACTAAGTTATGCATTTTCATTATAAACTAATATAAAATTAAAAAATAGATATCCAACATTATCATCATTCCTAGTGTTGAATTGATGTTAGCAGTAGTATTGATTTGAACTTTGTTTGAGTTACTACCTTCATGAGCTATAAAATTTATTTACCATTCAAGAATGTTAAGTTCAAACTTGAAATAATATGTTAAAAGATAAAAACGTGAAAAAGTTTAAAAAATATATCTAGATTACATTACAATAAATATTTTTAAAATTGTATAAATATACTATCGGGTTGGTTTGGTTCCGGTTTGACTTTTGTTTAGTTAAAACCAAACCAAACCAATTATAGTCGGATTTTTTTCTCAATACCAAACCAAATCAAACCAAACTACAATCGATTTTTTTTTTCTCGGTTTGACTCGGATTATCGACTTGGTGCGGTTTATCGGTTTTCTTTGTACATCCCTACTAGGGTCTTTTCCCATAAAATCCAAGGGTCCATCAAACTGTGATATTCTTCTAGCACGAGGGGTCAATCTAACTTCTATGTCATTCCATCAGAAGAGTATCAAAAGATTTTTGCTTCCGGATTTTCACTTATGTTTTTTCTTTATCTTGACTATAAAAAAGATCAGATTTGGTTATACATAGAAGGTTAGATTCATACAAACTTCCAAATTTCATACCATATAGAGTCCTAAGGAGTTTAATTTCTTCACCACTTTTTTATCACTAATTTGAAAAGGAGCTCCAAATTGGCAGGTTAACGCAACAAGCTGATCTACCAAATGGGCAGCAACATAAATAATCTAAGATGTGCATCCAAATTTTTTACATAGTAAGTACTCCAGTTTTATCGAGTAGCATTTAGTATCCAAAGCTTTAACTACAAGTGCGCGCGTTCATTATAGTGCACGCACCGGAATATTCGCCTACGAGACTTAAGGGGAAGAGGATGAAGGTTAGAGAAAAAGGAAGAACAAAATCGAACGGGAAAGTTTTAATTATGTTGCACTAAAGTTACTAAATTATTTTTTCTAACAAAAAAATCATTCAACTTTACCTAAATATCACGAGGTGTGTGTGGGCAACTATTTTTTGTTACAAAAAAATTCATTCAACTTCGCCTAAGTATCATAAAAAATTGGATAACTATTCGTGAAATTACCCCTCTAAAGGTCAAGGGAACAATAGGCACATTAGGCTACTCTGTAGTGCAAGTTGCAACTATAGTGTAGGTAGGGGCGAATGCCACGACCCAAACTCCTTGGTCGTAATAGCACCTAACCCCAACCCATTAGGCAAGCCAACGGTCACATAATAACAATAAAATCGAATAAACATGGTCCAAGAACTCAACAACAGAATAATAACACGAAATATCTGAGAATATAACCATACAACTGCTATAACCATCCCTAAAATCTGGTGTCAACGAGTACACGAGCACTATCGAATAATAAGATACAAGTAAAATCCTCTAATCTAACTGTCTGAACAATAGAACAATAAAGATATAAGTAACTAAAAGATAACTTCAAGGACTGCAGACGACACAGTAGCTACCTCGTAGTCTCCCAAAGGCTGGCAATAACTCAAGTCTAGAAATCCCCTCGACCGGATGTACCTGGATCTACACACGAAGTGCAGAGTATAGTATGAGTAAAATCGCTCCATATACTCAATAAGTAATAACATGAACCTTGGCCTGAAAGTAGTGACGAGCTCAGAACAATAGCCAAATGCCAATATCAATAACCGGTAACAGTTCAGAATATAAAGGATAAACTGTAAAAACAAGTAGCTCAATGATATCATATTCAACTTATTCACATTTCAGAAATTTAAACATACTTTCAAGTATAACAGTTAAAGCCCAACACGGATAAAGCACTTCATTTAATAGTTAGTATGTGGGAGGTACACCTCTATGCCTACATGTCAAGTATACATGTAAATCAACAATATCATTGTGGATCCATCAATACTCACACGTAGCACTGTACGGGTGCCTGGCATGACTGCCCATCATCAAGCACGTATGCAAAAATACTGTGCCTGCGCCACATATCAGACTCCGGAGGGGCAGATCCTTCCCAAACGCTAATTACAATCATTTAGCCCAATAGTGAGGACCGGTGCACGCATCGCCCCAAAACAATAACACTTATCCCAATATGGGTTTGGCGTGCGCGTCACCTCAAAATCAATGCCAAACTGGATCTATGGCCCAAACTCAGTCATTTACCGTTCATGTCTCAGATAAATACATCTCAAAATGCTCAGTTTAACAGTGTTACATATAAGACAGATCAACAGCATGTGAGTAATCAAATAATAAGTACTGAGATAGAGATATCATACACGGATATAGCATCATGACTAAGAACATGTGTACAAATAAAGAATATAGCTCTGAGATAGCAAGAATAGCCCTATCAAGTCTTAAACAATAACACTTAGCCTAGATATAATGTCTTATATGAATCATAATTAAAATGATTAAACAAGTAGAAAAATATGGACATAACAAGATATGATATCAAACAAGCCCGGTAATAGCCTAAAGGCCTCCCAAACTATGAACACACCGGTGCACGCGCACACGTCCGTCACCTTGCACGTACGTCACCCCAATATCTTTCATATAACGTAGTTCTCAGGGTTAAATACCCTCAAATCCAAGTTTAGATGTGTTACTTACTTTAAAACGCGTAAATTAATACTCCAACAAGCCCTTCTCACGCGTATCAGACTCCAAATAACTCAGATCTAATCGCAAACAACTCAATATCAACAAATAATGCCGTAGGAAACAACTTCAAACAATAAAGTTTCGATCTTTATCAAAATCAAAAGGTAAACCTCGGGCCTACACCCCAATATTTAGTCAAACTCATAAATCCCAAACACCTATATAATAACGAGTTCAACCATACCAATTTCATTTAATTCTGACCTCGATTCGATCTTCAAATCCGCAATTTTCACTTTAGGAAGTTTTTACAAAAATCTCTCATTTCTTCACTTTAATTCACTAATTACACGCTAAAAGCAAAGATGAAATTATGAAATAATAACAAATCCGAGTCAAAAACACTTACCCCGATCCAAATCTTGAAAATCCCCTAAACAATCGCCCAAAAATCGATCTCTCTTCCTCCAAGTGTGATATAATAACTCTAACCCTCGAAATGGGATTTAAAAGAGTCTACCTAGTCATTCCTCTTCGCAAACGCAGAAGATGCCTCGCGTTCGTGAAGTAAAAATCACACCAGCTTCCAAAACCTCTTATGCGAATACGAAAGCTTAGTCGTGAACGCGATGTTCAACATGCTACAGCTACGTGATCGCGGTACTGGTCTCGCTACCGTGAAGGGCAAACACCTGCCACCCCTGGGTCTTACCTCCCTTCTACGCGAACGCGTCACCTTGCTGCGTTCACGTTGAACAACCTGTCTCAACCTTCACGAATGCGTCCTTCCACTCGCGAACGCGATGCACAATTTCCACCAGCCACCAAAAAAATCTACGCGTTCGCGATCCTTTCTACGCGAACGCGAATAAGGAAACCAGATGCACAAGTTCAACATTCCTATCAAGTCCAAAATGAAGCCGAACTTGATCCAAATAATACCCGGGACCCCCAGGATCCTATTTGAACATACCAACATGTCCTAAAGTACGATACGAATTTATTCGAAGCCTCAAATCACATCAAACAACATCAAATTCATGAATCACACATCAATTCAAGCCTAATGAACTAAAGAACTTTCAACTTTTAAAACCGATGTCGAACCATTTAAAATTAATTCCGAATGACCTCAAATTTTGAACATTAATCCCAAATGACACAAAAGACCTATTCTAACTTCCAGAACTAAAATCTGAACCGGTATCAACAAAATCAACTCTCGGTCAAACCTCTCAACCTTCCAAACCTTCAACTTTCTAACTTTCGCCAAAAAGCCTCAAACCAACCTACGAACCTCCAAATCAATATCCAAATATACGTCTAAGTCCAAAATCACCCTACGAAGCTAATGGAACCATCAAAACTTCATTCCGGAGTCGTGTACACAAAAGTCAAACTCCGGCCAACTCTTTTAGCTTAAGCTTCTAACCTTGGGACTAAGTGTCCCAATTTACTCCGAACTTTCCCCGAAACCAAACAACCACCCTGGCAAGTCACATAACCACAAACGAGCATAGATGAAGCAATAAATAGGGGAACGAGGCTACAATACACAAAATGATTGGCCGGGTCATTACATTCTCCCCCTCTTAAACAAACGTTCATACTCGAACGGGTCTAGAATTATATTT